TTTACCGTTAATTAATAGAAAAGCAGTTACTCTTTAGAAGAATGTAAGCATGCATAAATTTGCTCTAGCCCATAGTAGAATATGAAGTTGGCAAAATAGAACCACATATTCTCAAAAGAGCGTAGCATATGCAATAGTAATCTACATCATCATAAAAGAATTTGTGGATCACTCAAAATATTAGGTTCAATACACCAACAGGATGAACCAATATTCGAGACACCTCAATACAAGATGGGTTTGGCCAATTTCGTTGGATCAAACTGAAAGCTATAGTAAATCAACAGAAAGACAGATATGCGAAGTAATTCAACCGTACGACAATTCAATTACCAATCGAATAGATGGAAGCCACATCCGCGCATATTGCCTCAGTCTGTTGGCTCCCACTACAAATCGAATAGGTGTGTGTAGATGATCGGTCCTTTAAATGGTTGGGCAAGTTAGTAAAAAAATTCATAGAAGCTCATATAAGGATAATTGACATAGCTGAGCCAATACTCTCTCCATAACTAAGCTGACCATGACATACATCTGACCTTTCATTATGACATTTAGGGAAACAAAATGTCGAATTTGAAGTACAGAAAATCTAATGTCGAATTGGCTCTTGGTTGGTACCAGTAAATCGAATCTATAAAATTTACGCATGGCACTTGCTAATAACTTGACCGATGAGAGCACATATGTAAAATTAGGCGGTCCATAAAATACAATATTGATGTCTTGGAACAAATGTGGCTCATAGGATATCCCTAACTCAATATCTTTGTAGTAGTTGAGGCTGGTCATTACCATAAGTATTACTTGCCCATGGGAAGCTAAAGCCAAATGACAGAATAATTATTCTTTTGGAACATTGCATATCAAGAAACTTTAACTCAAATTTTGTGAGGAAAAATGCATGGCCATATAAACGATTCGTGTCCCCCAAATCTGACTAAATAAATTGGTTTCAATTCAAGAGCTAATGGATTCTTCTTAACGAAACGATACAGAGCTTTTCTGCGTTGTTTTGAGAAAAAAAAGAGCTAACTGATTGAGCTTTGGAATGGAAGCCATCAATTCGTGTAATCAGTAACCCATTTTATTCATAAATTTTTCCATGAGAACTCTTGAATCCTCTCTTTTTCTAATCACAGAAACACAGGAAAGGGAGATGGAGGGGAAAGTAGCTAGGGGGCATCAGACAGAGACCTGGATTCAGAAGGGTTGCATTCATGGGACTGCTTGAATCATAGCTGTAGTTCCGCTCGCCAATTTGCTGCCTTGGTTGAGGGATGTGAGAAACATGAGCGTCAAAGTTTAGACATGGTAAAATGACAGGAAATTTATAAGGAAAAATATTTATCGAGTTTCTATTTTTTAATACCCAAACAACTCAACTGAGATACTACATGAAATAGAGGAGCAATATGAATTGGAGGTTACCTTGTTTGCTAAATGTGAACTGAAGCACTCCAATTATACTCTTCCCAGTCGCATTTGTTGGCCATAAAAAACAAAAGGAACTATTAGGCTAGGTAAAATTACGGATAGAAAGACTAATGGAATTAGGGATCAATATGATATATCATGTGCAACTAAATAAAATATCATGGTCGTAAGAGTGCTAACACATACGAGAGTGAAATCCATAAGCTTAGTTGAGTTGGTCTACTTTCATTGGTGTAGGTCTATATCAAGGCATACAAAACTTCACATTGTTGTTGAAGAGGCAGCCCGATGCGAACTTCAAGCGTGGTTCCTATTCAAGCAGCAAAGCAAAAGCAAAAACAACTGCTCCATATTTCTTCTTCAAGGCTAACCAAGAACTCTAAATCAAAAGGACAACAAAAGAAACAAAGTTAGCTCAAACTGTCGAAGACCGAGATTCACTATTGGAAGTAAATTAACATGAAGAAGCATGTCTACCTCGTATCCCTAGCGAGTAGGCAAGCTAGATAGTATTTAATGAAAACACATAGGACATGGTTGGTACCATATAAGTGTAAGCTGAATGCCTTATCTAGAAAAGGAAGGAAAATAATGAAAACACATAGGACAAAATACTTTTCCATCATAAACTGAAGGCAACAAAATATATGTTGACGTACATAAATTAGAAAGGCGCAACATGTAATCTGTTTGCCCTAAGATATTTTTTGGGCTGTAGGCGGTACCACCGTGTAAAGGAACACTCTATATAAAGGGTCTTATGAAATAAGAGGCAGTCTACAACCAAGCCATAGTAGTAGAGTATTTGGACGTAGGTGGGTCAATAGAAGTAGGTAGTACTCAATATAGCAACCATTGTTAAGAGAAGAAAACCTCTAGAATTTCATGGTATCTTTAAAAAAATTATTTCGTCCTATTATCTTGTATTAAATACATCTACAAACATCAATGCATAATGGTAAAAATATTTTATACTAACCGCATACACCCTTAACCATGGACTTTTTTAATGAATAGTGTGGTCTTTGAATGTTGTCTCGGAAAAGGTCTCGAGCACCTGGAACATTTTAGTATAAATTTGGTAAAAAATAAATAAATCTGAGTTGGTCAAGCTAAATAGTAAACTAAATGTGGAATTGAAACAAAATGAATAGAGAACTCAGTATAAATAAAATATGTCCAAGGAATACGTACCTCCACGATCGTTGCTCAAATCATTGCGCCGACACTTCAGTAGCTTCATTCCTTCCGAAATGAAAGCGGAACAGGAGCTAGGTTTTCCTGTAGCAAAGATAGGTAGGGTTTGTAGAAAAAATAGATAGTGTTTTAGCAAGCCAAGGAGAGGAGGAGCAAGAGAGAGCGGCTTCACTGGAGCTCTCGCGCTGAAGCCATCGTCGTGAGGTTTGGTCGTCTTGGGTCGCGCCCTTGACCTTTCGGCGCTGGACCCACCAGCCACGCCTTCCCTCCGCGTCGGGCGCCAGGGGCCGCTTCGCCCGATCACTTGCTGGGGTCCGCCTCGCCAGACTGCCGCCAACATGGGCGGGCCCTAACTTAGCAGTGTGCCACAGCACCCTCGGCCTGCGGCCTTGAGAGAGACAGCGTCGAGATCAAGAGAGGAAGGATGAATAGAGGAGTGGGGAAGGGGAGGAAGGATGAATAGATGAGCAGGGGGAGGGGGGCGGGGCGCGAGCTGCTGGCGGCGTGGTCTTGGGAGGAGTGGCGGAAGATGGGGAAGGAGAGGCGTCGGGGTCGGGGAGGAGGAGCCAGTCGAGGAAAAGCGTGGGAAGAAGAGGCGGATGGATATATATCTGTTTCAATGGATCCAGATCGGTCAGAAACCTAAAGCTGGCGGATTCTGAAGAAGCTACCCCAAATCATAGGGAGGTGAACAAAAGCAGCACGGAGCAAGTAGAAGCTAGGCACAGTAGAATCCGATTGAGCAGATCTGGTCCATCGAACCCGAGATCCAACGGTAGTTTTTTTTTGGGTGACGTGGACGTTGTTTCCTTCGGGAAACCACCGCGGGCTTGTTTAGGTAAAACTCGAGCAAGGCATCAGCTTCGGTGGTGGCAAGGGACTCCTCGGGCAGGTTCATTGGGGCTTCGGTTGTGGTAAGGCCCCGTTTAGATGCGAATTTTTTTGGCTTTTGGCTACTGTAGCACTTTCGTTTGTATTTGACAAAAATTGTCCAATTATGGACTATTTAGGCTTAAAAGATTCGTCTCGTCAATTACGGGCAAACTGTGCAATTAGTTATTCTTTTTATTTACACTTAATGCTCCATGTATGTGCCGCAAGATTTGATGTGATGGAGAATTTATTTTTGGATTTTGGATGGGATCTGCCCTAACTAAAGGCACTTCTGATCCTAAAATCATGGAGGCAGTGGCGTGTAGAGAAAGACTAGCACTGGCATCGGATTTGATGTGCAACAAAAAATCAGGGTGGCTTGTGATAATATCACAGTTGTTAGAAATATCCGAGGCGCATGCTTTGAGCCTTATAGCCATGTTGTTCAAGAGATCAAGGCACGAGAAGAAAGTTTCACTTCAGTTGAGTTTGTCCACGAAGGTCGGATGTTTAGATCGTAAGTTTTTTCACTCTCTCTCTATCACATCAAGTCTTTAGACACATGCATGGAGTATTAAATGTAGATAAAAAAATAACTAATTACACAGTTTGATTGTAAATTACGAGACAAATCTTTTGAGCCTAGTTAGGCCATGATTGGACAATAATTATCAAATACAAACGAAAATGCTACAATGCCAAATACTGATTTCTAACACCCATCTAAACAAGGCCCTAATGGAGATGCTCATCGGCTAGCGTGAGGCTCCCTGTACGAGGCAGTAGGTAGGCATGTCTGGTTTATCAGTCCGCCGGAGGGCGTGTGTTCATCTTATTTTCAGACTAGTTAATAAAGTTTGAGAATCTAAAGAAAACTTACCCCCATTCCCTGACCCCAACATTCCCACAGCAGCGTCACACTCCCTGACTCGTCATGACTCTCGTCTCCCGTCTAGGACCCCTAGCCCTAGTGTGACCACGTCAGTTGTGGCGGCGGAGGGTGAAATGGCGTAGCGATGCGGTGCCTCAGGCGACGAGGGCATGACACATTTGGCTCCGAGGGCGCGATGACATCAAGCTTTGAGTAGTGCGAGGCTGCAGGTGCATGGGCGCACGCAGGCTCTAGCACCACGGATGTGAAGATCCTGTATCATTGTGCTGCAGTACTGATCGGTTGTGTTCGGTGAACATCAAACACCGTGCTGAAGAACCGAACACCGAATGTGTCGGTTCTGGAAATTTGTAAGCACCGATCGACTCTCAGTTTTCTAACAATAAAGTTTTTTTACATCGAAAGAACCGAACAAATCACACCGAGCAGCCGTGATGCCGGCAGGTGAGCGCGCGACGGCTGGCGTGGTGACCAGGAGATCTGTCCACTCGACGCTAATGGGTTGTCGAGGACAGATTGATCCATGTACTTGGTGAGCTTGCTCATCTTCGGCTTGAGGTCATCCACTGCGCCTTCAAACTCTTGGCGCCAACTTTCTAGGTTACCGGTGGACTTGGCGACGGCGGAGACGAAGGTCTCCTGGAGCTGCTCTGACACGGCGCACCTCGGAGTCGGTGATGCGCCGCTCCCAGTTGAGATCTGAGTCGGCGAGTCGCTTGGTGAGGGAGTCATCAAGATCGGTGAAGTGTTTGGTGACGGATTCCTCCACCTCGGTGAAGCGCTTCTCCAGCGCGCGGTTGCTGTCGTCGAAGCGCGAATCGAGCTTCCGATCCGCCTCGGTGAAGCGTGCGTCGAAGCTTGTCTTCTGCTTCGCGAACAGGCGGTGCATCTCGTCGAGGATCCACTTGGAATCAGGATTCATGGCGCCGCGGCTTCGAGTGAAGCGTGTGTAGTGCGGGTGTTTGGGTGGCGGCGGAGTGATCCAGATCACGACTTCGAAACCAGATCGAGCGCGTGCCTGGGAATTACAGAATTCGAGATCTGCTGGACTTAAATCGAACTCGACAACCGAAGGCGTTTGCGACTCAATCAATGGAATCAAAACAAATTGTGCGGAAGACGCGCTGGCTGCTGATACCAGATGTAAGCACAAGCAATTGGGAAAGAGAAGAAGAACAGCAGAGCAAGGGAATTGGGAATAGATCGGAGTTCTTAGATCAGAGGAGTGCTTAGAATAGTAGATACAATTGTTGTTGTTTGATTGATACCCTCTCTTCCTCTGCCTCTACAGCTAATAAGCTACTCACTCACGCCACCTGTCTTGCTGGTCGATGGGTCTTGCCACTCTGGGCCTTGGACTCGAGTGTTGGGCCGCCGCTCACGTGTGCTGCGTCGTGGCTCATGTTCCCCTCCTGTGCTCTCCTTAGTGTTGACACAAAAGCTTATTGCCCAGCACTCCCAGAGGGCCCTTATCTGTTTTCTCCTCCTACAGGATGCAATGGAAATTGGCATTCTATGGTGCCGGTTACGCTAAAAAACACTTTGAAGGCGTTCATGCCTCCTAATCAGCATGCACCGATGCACGGGACCTTGCATTCCGTAGATTAGCTGAGATCGTTGAAACGTTGGAGGAGGTGGTGTGGCCCAGCTCCAAACCAACCCAGCACCTTTTCTTCCCTCTCGGCGTCTCCGGTGCTTTGTCCACTCCACCTGACTCACGGCACGCGGAGCAGCAGGAAAACCTTCCAAGAGATGCACTGCCGACTTGCGAGAACTCTTCCACCGAGGCCTTATTTAAATCTAGCGTGTAAAGTTTTAGAGTGTCACATCGAATGTTGTATTAGGTGTTCAGTGTTGAATTTATTATGGGCTAGGCCCATTTATATATCTAATAAATTATAACTCTATGGCTTGTAATTGTGGGTATTATTATTTGTACCGGATTGGAAGTTAAAAGGACGTTGACTCAACTTAAATGATTGGAATGGATCCGTCTAATTTGAAAGGTTGAGAAACGGACAAGGGCGTGCCACACGCGCGCGCCGCCGCCGCCGGCCGGGTCGGGCCGGGCTCGGGCCGTGGCAGGCGGGCATGGTGTGTTAATTTTTAGCACCCACTAACTCAACCTGACGCTTGATCTCCCTGCGGGCGTGGTGTGTTAATTTTTAGCACCCACTAACTCGACCTGACGCTTGATCTCCCTGAGTCTCTCGATCTTCCCGGCGCATGCCTCCGAGGCTTCTCGGCTTCCCTTGCGATTCTTCCAACTCCAGATAAAAAGAGAGAACATATTCCAGAAATGGGTTCAGCTTGCTCGATAGCTTTCCTCATCTCGTAACTCTCTGCTGCATACGGAGGAGCGAGAGGCAGAGTGCCTCCAAAGCCCTTGTCGTTCGGGACCTTGCACAGGGGATCGGCAATTAGGTTTTTGGGGAGCGTCTACGCGACTGCCCAAGAGTCTCCGTCTCCGTACGTCCGTACGCCGTCTTCTTCCCGATTTCTTCAAGTACAGCAGCATGTCGACTTCGGAATCACGGACGGGAGGGTATGATCATTTCATCTTCTCTCAGTTTATTCCATATGTCCAGAATTGCCGTTTTAAGAGATGTCTTATGTCTGTTTCTGTTAAATATATGCTCTGCGTATGTGCTTTATTGTTACAGTCATGTTGCTTCATATGTAGCCTTATGCTTGTTGCAAATATGAGATGTATATCATGCCAGTTTCTCTCTGTTATGATTTATGAATCAAATTCACATATTTTTTATTTTCATATGTTTCACATGATACATGATCTAGCATGTATTTTCACCATGGATATAATCAATGTCATGATTTCAATGATTAATATTTCTTTATATGTCATCATCATGTTGTTAAATTATGGAATTAAAATGACATGGAAATTGCCTATTATTCTAACAATCCAAAAACCTAAATTTAGGCATTTTTCTGCAGAGGTTTTGCTGCTGTGTTAAAGCCTGATCCTTTTGATGGTAAAAACTTCTTGGTTTGAAAAACTAAGATGGAATTGTGGCTCACTGCAATGTCATGTTATCATATCTCTGATGGCAAACCTGCTAACTTGCCTTCTGAGGATGAGGCTAAGTTTAAGGCTGATGACAACCTCTTTCGAGGTGCAGTGATTAGCGCACTTGATCCAAAATTCCAGAAAAGCTATATCATCCTTCCTCTGAGGAAAGAGTTATGGGATGCACTTGTGGGAAAGTTTGGAGTTATCGATCTTTGATAGCGAGTCAGTATCTCATGGAACAATTTGTATGACTACAAGATGGTTGAGAACCGATCCAGTAGTAGAAACGAGCTCATGAGATTCGTGCACTAGCTAAGGAACTTGAGCTCTTTCCATGTGTCTTACCTGACAAGTTTGTGGCTGGCGGTATAATCGCCAAGTTACCACCTTCTTGGAAGGACTTTGCTACCTCACTCAAACATAAGAGACAAGAGTTCAATGTTGAAGAGCTCATTGGTACTCTTGATGTTGAGGAGAGAGCTAGAGCAAAAGACAATGGAAAGAGTGTTGAGACCTCTCTCGCTAATGTGGTACATGTAAGAGAAACTCGGATTCCGCAAGTATAAAAAGAAGAAAAACCGTAACAAGCAAGAGAACACAACAAAGCCTGCTCAAACAAAGACAGTTTAAAAAGAAGAAGAACAACAAGAGAGATGGAGGTTTGCTTTGTTTGTGGCGTTGAAACAACCTTTGGGCAAGTGAGTGTTCTGAGCGTAAGTTCAAGCAGGAAAAAAAATTAGCAAATGTTGTCACTACTGATACTGGAGAAGGAGCAATTGGGTATGGTAATTCTTTACCATTTGTTCTTTCAGTATGTAATTCACCTGAGTGGTGGATGGATAGTGGTGCAAATATTCATGTATGTGCTGATGTTTCTCTGTTTTCTTCCTACCAGGTCGAGAGGTCTGGCGCCTTGTTGATGGGAAATGTGTCGCGTGCTCATGTTCTTGGTGTTGGTACGGTCATTCTGAAGTTTACTTCGGGAAAGACGGTGCCATTGAAGAGCGTGCAACATGTGCCCTCCATCAAGAAGAATCTTGTTAGTGCATCTATGCTAAGTCGAGATGGCTACAAAATTGTTCTAGAGTCGAATAAATGTGTTGTGTCGAAACATGGTTCCTTTGTTGGTAAAGGATATGATTGCGGAGGCTTGTTCCGCTTATCACTGCATGATGTGTGTAATAAAATGGTGAATTGTGTTAATATTTCTGATGAGTCTGATTTATGGCATTCACGTTTCTGTCATGCAAGTTTTGGCTGTCTTATGCGGTTAGCAAATCTAAATTTAATTCCTAAATTCAATTTGGTCAAAAAGTCTAAGTGCCATGTATGTGTTGAATCAAAATAACCCCGTAAGCCTCACAAGGCTGCTGAGGCGAGGAATTTAGCACCTCTAGAACTTGTCCATTCTGATTTGTGCGAAATGAATGGAATTTTGACTAAAGGCAGTAAAAGATACTTCCTCACGTTTATAGATGACTCCACCAGGTTTTGCTATGTGTATCTCTTAAAAACAAAAGATGAAGCGTTTAATTATTTTAAGACCTATAAAGCTGAAGTTGAGAACCAACTTGAGAGGAAAATAAAGCGGTTAAGGTCCGATCGAGGTGGAGAATATTTCTCTAATGTCTTCGATGAGTTTTGTGTGGAACATGGTATTGTTCACGAGAGGACACCGCCATTCTCACCACAATCCAATGGGATTGCTGAAAGGAAAAACCGCACTCTAACAGAGTTAGTGAATGCCATGTTGAGTACAGCGGGATTATCCAAGGAATGGTGGGGTGAGGCGATTTTGATAGCATGTCATGTCCTGAATAGAGTTCCAACAAAGAATAAAGAGATCACACCATTTGAGGAATGGGAAAAGAGAAGATTAAATCTCTCATATTTGCGCACTTGGGGTTGCTTGGCTAAAGTAAATGTGTCAATCAACAAAAAGCGTAAACTTGGGCCTAAAACTGTTGATTGTATTTTCCTTGGTTATGCATTTCACAGCGTTGGTTATAGGTTCTTAATTATAAAATATGAAGTTCCTGATATGTATGTTGATACAATCATGGAATCTAGAGACGCTACATTCTTTGAGAATGAATTCCCAATGAAGAATACATCTAGTGAAACAAGTCATGAGACTATAATTCCCCATGAACACGAACTGTCTATTCCAATAGATCATGCTGAAGAATCTCATGTACACATCCCTAAGGAGGATGACACTATGTCACTCGAAAGAGCAAGAGACAGAGGGTTGCAAAATCCTTTGGTGATGACTATTTAGTGTACCTTGTGGAAGACATACCAACCACCATTAGAGAGGCATATTCTTCTCCTGATGCTGACTTGTGGAAGGAAGCAGTAAGGAGTGAGATGGATTCTATTATGTCTAATGGAACTTGGGAGGTCGTTGACCGTCCTTATGGTTGTCAACCTATAGGTTGTAAATGGATTTTCAAGAAAAAGCTTAGACCTGATGGTACAATTGAGAGGTACAAGGCAAGGCTTGTGGCCAAAGGATATACTCAAAAAGAGGGTGAAGATTTCTTTGACACCTATTCACCAGTTGCTCGATTGACTACAATTCGCACCTTAATTGTCGTGGCTGCCTCTTATGGTCTTATCATTCATCAGATGGATGTTAAGATAGCTTTCCTGAATGGAGAGTTAGAAGAGGAGATCTATATGGATCAGCCAGAAGGGTTCATTGCGGATGGTCAAGAGAACAAGGTGTGCAGGTTGTTAAAATCATTATATGGCCTAAAACAAGCACCTAAGCAATGGCATGAAAGGTTTGATAATACTTTAACATCTAACGGTTTCTTTGTGAATGAAGCTGACACATGTGTGTATTATCGATATGGTGGGGGTGAAGCTGTTATGCTGTGCCTATATGTTGATGACATCCTGATCTTTGGAACAAATCTCAATGTGATTAAGGAAGTAAAGAAACTTCTATCGAGCAATTTTGAAATGAAAGATTTGGGAGAAGCTAATGTTATTTTAAACATCAAGCTTATTAGAGAAGGTGATGGTGGGGTAACTCTGTTACAGTCCCACTATGTGGAAAAGGTATTAAGTCGCTTTGGTTTTAGTGACTGTGATCCTGCTCCCACGCCTTATGATCCTAGCGCGCTATTGAGGAAAAATCGAAGAATAGCAAGGGATCAACTGACGTACTCCCAGATCATTGGCTCACTCATGTACCTTGCGAGTGCGACAAGGCCTGACATCTCATATGCTGTGAGCAAGCTGAGCCGATTTGTGTCAAACCTAGGAGATGATCACTGGCGTGCTCTTGAGAGAGTATTGCGTTATCTAAAAGGTACTATGACTTATGGTATTTATTATACTGGACATCCAAAAGTGCTGGAAGGCTATTGTGATGCCAACTGGATTTCTGATGCTGATGAGCTGTATGCCATGAGCGGATATGTGTTTCTGCTTGCAGGTGGCACTGTTTCCTAGAAGTCTTGCAAGCAGACTATCTTAACGAAGTCTACAACGGAAGCATAACTCACTGCATTGGACACTGCTGGAGCTGAGGCCGAGTGGCTTCGTGATTTCCTGTTGGATTTACCGGTAGTTGAAAAACCGATACCGGCTATCTCAATGAACTGTGACCACCAGACTGTGATTACAAAGGTCAATAGTTCCAGGAATAACATGAAGTCCACAAGGCATGTTAAAAGAAGTTTAAAGACTGTCAGAAAGTTGAAAACCTCCGGAGTTATAACGTTGGACTATGTCCACACGTCGAATAATCTGGCAGATCAATTCACTAAGGAACTATCACGAAATGTGATAGAAAGTGCATCGAGAGAGATGGGTATGAGACCCACGTGAAAGTCTACTGTAGTGGTAACCTGCTCTATGTGATCAGAGACCCCGTGAAGTAGAGTGGTGAAACAAGCTATAAGTAGATTGAGAGGAAAGTTCCCTATGAACCTATCTCTGATGCATATCTTTCTTTCTGTAAGGCAGGATGGTGTTTACCTTAATGTATTTCGAGAGTCTTATAAAGATGAGATGTTGTCCTATAGAACATCTTTTGAGAAGTACACCTATATGAGTCAGACTGCTGGTCACAGTCTATGGGACCTGGGTTATCCCTAAACACTCATGAAAGGCATAGAAGTGTGACTTATATGCTTCAAACAGCGGGGATGCTTGTTGCAACCTAGTACCAGCAAAGGACTTGAGTGAATCTCACCTCACACAAAACTGTCAATTCAAGGCATAGTCCATTGTTCAGTTGTGACTGAGTGAAACTCTTATTCTAGGTGGATGTTCAACTTAACAGTCTCCATCGAAACACTGGTATATCAAAAAATTGTGATTCTGGAACTATACAGTTACAAACCCTAGAGTTTGGTGGGGATTGTTGGATTTATTATGGGCTAGGCCCATTTATATATCTAATAAATTATAACTATATGGCTTGTAATTGTGGGTATTATTATTTGTACCGGATTGGAAGTTAAAAGGATGTTGACTCAACTTAAATGATTTGAATGGATCCGTCTAATTTGAGAGGTTGAGAAACGGACAAGGGCGTGCCACACGCGCGCGCGCGCGCCACCGCCGCCGCCGCCGGCCGTGGCGTGGCGTGGCAGGCGGGCGGGAGGGCGGGCGGGCGGGCGTGGTGTGGTGTGTTAATTTTTAGCACCCACTAACTCGACCTGACGCTTGATCTCCCTGAGTCTCTCGATCTTCCCGGCGCATGCCTCCGAGGCTTCTCGGCTTCCCTTGCGATTCTTCCAACTCCAGATAAAAAGAGAGAACATATTCCAGAAACAGGGTTCAGTTGCTCGATAGCTTTCCTCATCTTGTAACTCTGTGCGCACGGGGGAGCGAGAGGGCAGGTGCCTCCGAAGCCCTTGTCGTTTGGGACCTTGCACGGGGGATCGGCAATTAGGTTTTTGGGGAGCGTCTACGCGACTGCCCAAGAGTCTCCGTCTCCGTACGTCCGTACGTCGTCTTCTTCCCGATTTCTTCGAGTACAGCAGCATGTCGACTTCGGAATCACGGACGGGAGGGTATGATCATTTCATATTCTCTCAGTTTATTCTATATGTTCAGAATTGCCGTTTTAAGAGATGTCTTATGTTTGTTTCTGTTAAATATATGCTTTGCGTATGTGCTTTATTGTTACAGTCATGTTGCTTCATATGTAGCCTTATGCTTGTTGCAAATATGAGATGTATATCATGCCAGTTTCTCTCTGTTATGATTTATGAATCGAATTCACATGTTTTTTATTTTCATATGTTTCACATGATACATGATCTAGCATGTATTTTCACCAATGATATAATCAATGTCATGATTTCAATGATTAATATTTCTTTATATGTCATCATCATGCTGTTAAATTATGGAATTAAAATTACATGGAAATTGCCTATTATTCTAACATTCAGATACTAATAAAAAAATAAATTACAGAATCCATCAGTAATCCGCGAGACGAATTTATTAAGCCTAATTAATCCGTCATTAGCACATGTGTTGCTGTAGCACTACATTGTCGGATCATTTACTAATTAGGCTTAAAAGATTCGTCTCTTAAATTAGTCGGAAACTATGTAATTAGTTATTTTTGAGTCTATATTTAATATTTTATGCATGTGTCAAACATTCAATGGTACAAAAAAATATATATATTAAATTTCCAATATTGATAAGGTATTAAATTATAAAAAAACATGGACACGGTATAACACGTTGTAATTTGTAACCCACACTTTCATGGCCCCGTTCGCTTGGAGGAATTTGGAGGACTCTATAGAAATTTATAAGGAAACCATCCATAAACAGTGAAATTCCTCCGCAAACAGTGCTCCGTCCAAACCAGGCGAACGAGCCCTGTTGTAAAGTACCCTTTCGGGGTAACCCACGTACTCTCATCCAACAAAAAATTGCTGACCATTTTGCGCATAAATAAATAAATGAATAAATGTAGCCATTATAATTCTACAATAAAAAAACAAACCGGATGGCCTCAAAAGTCAAATTTGCCAAACCGTGTGCATCCTTTCTGTACATATTTGTGACGCGACACCTTTAAAAAATGCAAGCCGAAAGTGTCTCGAGTGCCCACCGCAACCGTAAATTTCACAAGTGGAGAGGGCTTGCACGCAAAAGGCAGCACGCTCAGCAGTCACAGTCAGCAGCAGCAAAGCGCGTCGTGTCGTGCCAATCCAGCTTGGATACTACTCGGTGGCCGGTGATGGACTCCACCGGTAGCAACCAGGTCGCCGGCAGACGCAGCAGCAGCACCATCGCGTCAAGGGCTGCCACGGCCCCGCCTTTGCTGACCATGCCGGGCGGCGAACTCGCTGACGCCATCATGGGCGGCGGCGGCGGCGGCGGCGGAGGGGGTGGAGGAGCAACGGACGTGGACCCCCGGGCCGCCCTCCTCCGTCTGGCTGCCCTCGGGGACCGCATGGCCGCCGTCCGGGGCCGTATCTCCGCCTCCATCTCGGGCGAGGCCCGGCCCCTCTCCTACGCCGACATCCAATCCGTCTCCTCCGAGATCTCCACCGCCGCCCAACTCGTCGTCCTCAACGCCGCCGAGCTCCTCGCTTCCTCCGTCCCCTTCCCCGCCCCACCTCCTCCCTCCGCCGCTCCTTCTCCCGCAGCTCCCGTCCGAGAGATCCCCGCTGTGGCCGCCGCCTCCGCCCAAGAGCAGCAACCCCTACTAGAGGCCGCCAAGGGCGACGGCGGCGGCTACGAGGTCGTGGAGCTCGACGCCGCCGAGCTGCTAGCGGAGCACGTCCACTTCTGCGAGATCTGCGGCAAGGGCTTCCGCCGCGACGCCAACCTCAGGATGCACATGCGCGCCCACGGCGACCGCTTCAAGACCCTCGACGCGCTCTCCCGCCCTGCCCACGGCCAGGGCCAGCCGCCCAAGCCGCCCGCTGGCGGCAACGTGCGCTTCTCCTGCCCCTTCGAGGGCTGCAACAGGAACCGCGCGCACCGCCGCTTCCGCCCGCTCAAGTCGGCGGTGTGCGCGCGGAACCACTTCCGGCGCAGCCACTGCCCCAAGCTCTACGCCTGCGAGCGCTGTGGCGGCAAGAAGCGCTTCGCTGTCCTGGCCGACCTCCGCAGCCACCTCCGCCACTGCGGGGAGGAGTCACAGTGGCGCTGCTCCTGCGGCACCACCTTCTCCCGCAAGGACAAGCTCTTCGGTCATCTCGCGCTCTTTGAAGGCCACACGCCGGCAATCACTAAGCCAAACAAGGATGTGGTGACAGGACCTACAGAGTCCACCATTGATGCTATGGAGGAAGGGGGATTTGAAGAAGGCAATCATGACCGGGAGGAGGATGAGGAGGGTGGTTATGATCCAGAGTTCTTCAAGGAGTGGATGGAAGAGCTTGGAGGTGGTGCTGGTGGCTCCAACTGGCCTGGACCAGCGGCAGCCGGACAATAGCAATGCTGCAAGGGCTAATTGGGTAAGGCAGCCTTCCCGCCCTTGTTATCACTTTGAATTTTTGTATGTGAAAATTTGGTGCAACAAGCTATGAAATGATGATAACATAGGATATGTGTGACTACTGGCAATTGCAAACTAGGAATATTTCGGTAATACTATTTCTTGCAAAAATTAAAAATAAAGGCATCCAGCTTTGAGTTTGATTTATCCTGATAATGATTGATTCATAGATTGCATATCAAAATTCTGAGATATGGCGCATATGAATATTTTATGCTATGATTCAATGACTATAGAGAGACTTGATTCTCTCTGCTAGATTGCAACTGGGCCATGCAGCGCCATTCGGCAAGCCAACCAACCTAGTTGTGAATTGTGATATTATGAAATTTTCAACTTGATTGTTTAGTAAGTCATCCTCAAATGTGTAAGATTCAGGTAAGTTTGGGTATCTTACACTGTTTTATGGAAATTCTCTTAAGTTAGTTTCTTAGTTAGGATGAATATGTGAGCCTCATATTTCACAACACTAGGTAAGGAATCAAACTGGACAATTGAACTATGAGGGAAAATTGTCTTTCTTTAGTTGGTGCACTCCTCTGGTTCCTTCCACCTATTTTAACTCCAGCCTTTATTGTATACCCTGATTCATAACTATGTGAACAGGATGATTATGTGTGTAGCATTTCTGAAGAGGCTCTTGTATTAGGTTGGGCCAGGCAAGTGGTACCTTAACATGGTATTTTTACAACTATAAATTCCCTTTTCACTGCAATGTATATCTTTTGGCCCTTTAAATGTGATATGAATAAGATGGTTGTTTCAGTCCCTTCTTTATCATCCTTTTTTGTTCTAGTTCTTGGACCACATATGCTTTGTTCATGGTTCAGGTGGTAAATAGTATAATTTGCTTTCCTTATTGTGATAGAATGTATACGACTTTTGAGTCTAGGGCTATTATCAAGAGATGAAACTTTTTGTTAAACTTTTGCCTTGAATTAACTGGCGCGAACAACATGTAGCTTGAATTCAATGAAGGGTGCACTTATGAGTGAGTTTCATTAAGTAATATTTAGTAGGTTTTGTCATGAATCTTTTGCTGACGACTGGAGATCTTCTTTGGGTTGACTTCAGTGGACGTTAGTTTTTCCCTTTTTGGGCAAAGGTGGTTTTCTCACCCAGCAATGCCAAGTATCGAACATCTGTTGGCTTGTTTTTGCTCTTCCGCAACGTTACCACCGGGAGCATCTATGTGCTTTCCGTCGCTTTCTTCACAAGGTAGCTAGCGTTTTTGTCTCTACCATCTTTGTTCATTTGCTCTAGATGTGTTATCATCATAATGCTTGTTATCATAACTTATTCTACACCTTGCATTTCTCATTGTGGCTCAATGATGCATTATGTGATTACAGTTTTACTTTTCACCAGATTTTTACTCTGCTGTTATTGTATACCCTGATTCATACAATATCCAACTTTCTCATGTGGACAGAATCATTATGAATGTAGTGCTTCTGAAGAGGCTCATGTATTAGGTTAGGGCAGTATGGTCTTTTACGATTATGGGTCCCTTTTTCTTATACCACAATGAACTTTTTTTTGTCCCTTTTAAATGGGGTATGAGTCAGATCATTGTTTCAGTCCCTCATCATATTCTTCCCCCTTTTTTGGACAGGCCCTAGGACCACATTTTATTTGTTTATGGTTTAGGTGATAATTTTTTTATCCCTGTTTCGATGGAATGTAAATGACTAATGAGTTTAGGGCATTTATTTAGAGATCAAACTTCATGTTGTTGAACTTTTGCCAAGAACTCTGACCAGTGTGAAACTGTGAATAACATGTAGCTTGAGTTCAATGGGGTGCATTTATGAGTTTCACGAAGTCATATTTAATTTAATAGGTTTCATTCTGGAATCTTTCTGCTGACTTACTCGGGATCTCCTTTCATTTAATTTCAGTTGTCGCCTAGTTTTTTTTTTCCTTTTTGGACAAGGTAGTTTTCTCACCTAACAATGCTAAGTATTGAACATCTACTAGTTTGGTTTTCGTCCTCCGCATTGTTGGAGATCTTTTCTGAATTCACTTCGGTTGTCTCAGGGGTTTTCTGTTTTTTTGGACAAAGTTTTCTCACTCAGCAATACTCCCTCCGTCCCAAATTAATTCAATTTCTAGAGTTATCTAAGTCAAAACTATTTTAACTTTGACTAACTTATTTGGTATCATACGCTTTTCTATAAAGTTGGTCAATTCTTAAGATAGTTTGACTTAGGGACTTAGGGTGATTCTAGGAATTGATTTATTTTGGGACGGAGGTAGTACCAAATATTGAACATCTATTGGCTTGTTTTGGCTCTTCTGCAATGAATGTTACCACGCGAAGCACCTATGCTAGTATTTTGTCATATTTTGGGACGGAGGTAGTACCAAATATTGAACATCTATTGGCTTGTTTTTGCTCTTTTGCAATGAATGTTACCACCCGGAGCACCTATGCTAGTATTTTGTCGGTTTCTCTCACAAGGAAGCTAGAGTTTTGTCATTATATAATTTGTTACTTTCCTCTAGATGTGTTGTCATCATAATGCATGTTAGTATCAGTGTTTTCACCCTGTATGCCTTCATTGTCTCGTCTTACAGTTTCTCTTTTACAATGCATGCGAGAGTAATTCGCTTGCAAGGAAAGTTATTCATGTAAAAAAAAAGGCATTATTAGGTGAGAAAACACTGATACTAAGTCAAAAAGATGGTAATAACAAAAACATATTGTAGACCTTGCAGCTAGGTGAAAAAAAAAGCTAGTGTTTTTGTTATTACCATCTTTTTTCTTTTCCTCTAGATGCGTTATCATCATAATGCTTGTTAGCATAACTTATTGTAGACCTTGCATTCTCATTGTGGCTCAACGATGCATTACGTGATTACAGTTTTACTTTTAACCAGATTTTTAGTCTGGCCGTTAATCCATTATTGCATGCCCAGATTCGTACAATATCCAACTTTCTCATGTGGACAGAATCATTATGTATGTGGTGCTTCTGAAGAGGCTCACGTATTAGGTTATGTCAGTATGGTCTTTTATGATTATGGGTCCCTTTTTCTTATACCACAATGAATTTTTTTGCACCTTTAAATGCAGTATGAATTAGATCGTTGTTTCAGTCCCTTCATCATCTTCTTCCCCCTTTTTTTGACAAGTCCTGGATCACATTTGATCTGTTTATGGTTAGGTGATTATTTTGTTATCCCTGTTTCAATGGATTGTAAATGACTAATCAGTTTAGGGCGTTTATTTAGAGATGAAACTTCATGTTGTTTAAGGGTGCGTTTAGATCCAAAAAATTTTGGATTTTGGCTCACTGTAGCATTTCGTTTGTATTTGGTAATTAGTGTTTAATTATGGACTAATTAGGTTCAAAAGTTTCGTCTTGCGATTTCTCGACCAACTTTAATTAGTTTTTTTTAGCTCACTACATTTAGTACTCCATGCATGTGCAAGAACTCTGATTGGTGTGGAACTGAACGGGCCTAACATGAACTCTGATTGGTTCAACTGTGAATAACATTTCAATGGGTGCATTTATGAGTTCCATAAAGTCATATTTAATAGGTTTTATCGTGGAATCTTTCTACTGACTTACTCAGTATCTCCTTTCATTTAATTTCAGTTGTCACCTAGTTTCCCCTTTTTGGACAAGGTAGTTTTCTCACCTAGCAATGCTAAGTATTGAACATCTACTGGTTTGGTTTTCGTTCTCCCGCATTGTCGGAGATCTTTTTTTAATTAACTTCAGTTGTCTTAGGGGTTTTCTATTTTTTTGGACAATGTTGTTTTCTTGTTCAGCAATACCAAATATTGAACATCTATGGGTTGTTTTGCTCCTGCAATGAATGAAACCACCCGGTGCACCTATGCTAGTATTTTGCCAGTTTCTCTCACAAGGAAGCTATAGTTTTGTCATTGTATAATTTGTTCCTTTCCTCTAGATGTGTTGTCATCATAATGCATGTTATTGTCAATGTTTTCACCCTGTATCCTCTATTGTGTCTCGACAATGGATTACATGTTTACATTTTTACTCTTTTACAATGCATGTGAGAGTAATTCGCTTGTAATGAAAGTTATTCATGTAAATCTTTTTTTCCCTCTTCTTTTTCGAAAATAGTTGGCAGGACTTCTGCCAGGCAAATATATTAGGCCCTGTTTGGACCCCTCCAGTTTTTAAGAATCTGGTTTTTAAAAACTGGGTGGGATCCAAATAGGCTAGTTTTTGTCTAGTTTCTTGTGTTAGTTTTTGACAGATTCTTAAAAACCAAGAAGCTGTTGATACCCACCTTTTGCCAGTTTTTGTGACCCTGTGAGCAATAAATGAAGCCAGATTCTTAAAAATCGGAGGATCCAAACACCCCCACCATTTTTTGCTCAAAATACAGATTTTAGAAACTAGAGACAAAAACTGTTTTTTTTAAGAATCTAAAACTCATCCAAACAGGCCCTTAATAGAGGAGAGAAAAGTGCCACAGTGTACAAACAAAAAAAGGCGTAACTACAACAAAGGCCCAAATGAGGATTGTTTTCCCTCATGGAAATGTAAAGGATTCATGTATGTCTAAGGAGATTGTGTGTTCGATTTAAAATGGATAAGAATGTGAGTTAAAATCCTTTGTGCTTGTTTAGCATATGAATGTACTAAATTCATTTTGTGGATATTTTTTTAAAATATAATCATGTTTTATATATATTCTGACTATGAAACCCATTGTCCTGTAGATGGTTTGACAAGAGACATCAGCTTACATCAAGTGATCAGGAGGATCAATGAAGACTGAAAGGTGATAGTAAAGAAAAGAGGTGCTTTGGGAGTCTTAATTTGTAGGATTTCTCTTTACCATTGTGTTTGTGCGTTCGTTCTAACCAGTAACATGTATGGTATGGTGCGTTTGTTGTTCAATTGCTGTTCACCGGGCCTCTCCCTTGCCATTCTCGGTTGCTTTCA